TATTTGGGGTTACTTTAGGTCATTGGGGTTACTAGAAGTCAAACTTGTTCTGTGCTGAGATCTTTAAGGTTACTTGAGGTCAGTGTGGGGTTACTTGAGGTCATTTTGGGGTTACTTGAGGTCAGGGTGGGGTTACTTGAGGTCAGCCAGTTACTATTTGGGGTTACTATAGGTCATTGGGGTTACTAGAGGTCAAACTCACTCTCTACAGAGCACTTTGGGGTTACTTTAGGTCATTGGGGTTTCTTGAGGTCAGCCAATTAGCATGGGATTATCTGAGGCTGCATTCCATCTCTGAGGACCGTGCTGGGCTTCACTGAGTTCAGCCATTCTTCTTGTTCCAGTATTTGAGGTCACCAACTCCAGCAGTGACACCAGAGCTTGGACCCGAGTTTGTGTCCCTGTCAGGGCTCCTTCTGTTCCATTTCACTCCAAGGAACCCCTGTGTGCTGTTGCTGTGTCACGCCTGCCCACCATGGTGCCAGTGTTGTGCCAGTCCCACCCTCACCCCAGCTTGCCTGCCAACTTCAATTTCCTTTTCACCATGAGTTACTCATGCCAGGCTCCCTGGCCCTTCCCTCTGTCCCCTGGTCCTGACTGTGCCTCCAAATTCCATCCCACCCATTCCTGTGAGCACCTGCCCCTCTTGGCCTGTCTGTACATGAGCTCCTCCTGCATTGTTTTTTTGGGAGGAAATGTAGATCCTGAGGATCTGGAGCAGAACAAAGCTCTCCAGCTCCACCTCTTCTGGCTGGTACCTCTGGTTCTCTGTGTCCCTCTGTCCATACTGATGTTTTCCTTCTGCAGCTGCAGATCTGGTGAGATGTTTCAAAGACACCAATGTAGCTTGAAACCTTAAACCAGGCTTTATTAGACAATCATTAACATGGCACATCACCCAGGGTTAAGCTTTAATCATCATCAACACACAGGTAAATAATTAGTCTTTAATAAACTTGGCCTAAATTAGCTGTGAATCTCAAATAGGGGCACTTTCATGGGGGGGCAGAGGTTTTGCCGTGGCACTGTGGTTTGGGCAGCTTGGGAGGTGAGGGGAAAGACCTTCCTTTATGTCTTGGTGAATGAAGCCAGAGCTGAAGTGGGATATCTCCTTTTTCCTCAGTATTTATCAGTGTTCTCTTCTTCTCCATCTTCCTGTGAAGGGATGAGGGACAACTCCCTCTTCTTCACTGAGTTGTTTTGTTTTGTAGGGTTTTCCCCAGCACATTTCCTGTTGTCCTGTGGGGTTACTTTGACTTCCCCTATTATCTTCTCTACCTACTATACATGTATGTTTTTTTTTTTCCTTTGCACTTTTATTTCCACTCGGTCCCTGTATTTCATATGTGCAGTTGTCTTCCTGTGTTTGGTACTTTGTGTTTTCCCTTTACTATTTCATGAAATGCCAATTGCTGACTTTGCCATTAGATGCTGTAAATAATCCATATTTTATACTATGCTAGAAAATGCTTACCTACAGTCACTGCTCACATTACCATTGTGTTCCAGGGTCTGTGTTTGTGGCAAGCCTTAGATCTTGCTCAACTTTTGTCTCCTTTTTTGTGCAAGAAGCCACCACTTTTTGTTCCTTGCTCTGCGCTGGGTGGCTGTTCAGTCACAGGGGTGAACATCCCTGCTGGAGTCTTCTTAGAATCATAACTTGAGTTGGAAGGGACCCTTTAAAGGTCATTTAGTCCAACCCCCCTTCAATGAGCAGGAACAGGCCTTGAAGGACCATGCAGTTACCTGAGGAAAAATATCAGGAAAAATCTCATCCTGGGGAGGTTGCCAAGACTTACTGTAGGTGCCTCTGCTCTCAGACATGAGTAACTGGACAGGCTTCCTCACAGTAGGTCCCCCAGACTTCCTGCAGTAATTCCTGTCCTCAGACATGAAGAATTGGACAGGCTTTCCCCCATCAGCTGCTGTTGCAGACCATGGGAAGCAGAGAGGAACTGTTGTCTTTTCCTGAGCCCTCTAGGAAAGAGAGGCTCCAGCAGCACCCTGAGCATGGGCACGCTCCCTTCCTGTTCTCCTGAGTCCTGAAGATGAAAAGCAGCAAGAGACACATTCTAAATTCTTCATCTCCATGTGTCTGTGTCTTACCTGGAGAAGGGTGAATGTTGCAACAAAATGGGAGGAATGAAGTGGAAGGCATGGGACTTCTGTCCTGCGCAGAAAGAAGGCAGAAAAAGAAAGTAAAAGCTATTTTTTTTTGTGCATGTGGAGGGACTGCTTGGCTCTGCAAGCATTTGTGCTATTCCCATGGCTCACACTGGAGTTGAGAGTGCCTCCAACACAGGCTAAGAAAATCCATTCACCACAGATCCACTGATTCTTTCTGACCTTTGTATTCAAGATCTTAGGAGAGAAACAAAATCCCAACCTTGCCATCTGTACTCAAATCAAGGTCTCAAAAAATCTAAGGTTGCCTCAAGGAGAAGGAAGAAAATAGCCAGGAAAGGAAGAAAATAGCCAGAAAAGTGGACACAAAATAAATCAAGGGGAAGAAAACTAAAAGCAAGCAATAATAAATAACAGCAATAATAAATAAGCTGAGTAGGGGCAGCCAGAGTCCAGGTGTGCTCACACCTCAATGCCCAGGCCCTGGGGTTTGGGAAAAGCAGAGCCAAAATATTTGCTGGGATGGCAGGGCTAGGGAGCCTCAGTTGAGTTTACTGCCTGTCCCAGTAGGAGCTGTCCCTTTCCCATAGAGAGTGACAGTTCAGAGAACACACAGGAGTCACAGGCAGCCTGTGATGAAATGAGCCATCTGCCCTGATTTTGTGATCATATCTAATTACTACTTTATTTTGTCCCTGTATCTTTATTCTTGTCTCTTCTGTAGAGTATCTTTACAATCTTTACAAGGCCAAGCTGTCTGATACCAGAATACATTATTCCACAGTAAAGAATAAATTTAAGAGAAAATGTTTATTTTTTTCTAGTAATGACCAGCATGTTTAGTTTTATTTCCTCTCTGTGTTAGGTGACTTATCTATTTGGGAGCTCTCCAACTCAGCCACAATGCAATTGCTTTAGGATAGATTATGAAATTTCTAAAAGTGTCATTAAATCAAAGCCAATAACCAGTGCAGAACTGTGAACTAGAAAATAGTGATAAGAATTAGTCACACATTAAAATCCACATCTATAGAGATGCTAGAGAAAGTCACCAATTAGCAGTGTTTGGGCGGGTGTAAATACATAAAAGTTTAAGGCTAATCAGCATTTAGTATTAAATCTGCAGAAATTTCCACTATTTTTATGATTTTGGATGATGTGCTGAGCTGCTGCCATTGGTTTGAGGGGTAAAAAACAAAGAGGGAGCAGTAACAGGTCTAAGGAAAACCAAGCTAAGAAGCCCTTTCTATTCTACTTGCAAAGGCTCTACCTGCCCCTAACAAATGTCGGTTTCCACTTTTCATATCACAAGGTCTATTCAGCAAGGAAATGTCTGATTATGGCATAGTTCTACCCCTCTTGGATGATCATGTGTTCTTATAATCAATTTTGTTTGAGCATGGGCATGACACAGCTTCTTGCTCATCACTCAATCTTCCCATCATTTCCTTCACCTTCTGGCAATGCTTGGATTTAACATCTCAGCCTCTCCTTTGCCTCTTCCTAAATTAAGATAAATGCTCACAAAAAATCAGTAGATAAAAAGACAAGGAATGACACCATCCTGAGGAAATTATTGTAACTGGATATGATTTCATAGAATCACAGAATGATTTGGGTTGGAAGGGGCTACAGGAGAGCTGGGGAAGCACTTTTGGTAAGGGCATGGACAAGGGGGAATGGATTTAAACTGAAAGAGAATGAGTTTAGATACTGGGGAAAAAAAAAAAAATCTTCATTTTGAGAGTGGTGAGGCCCTGGCACAGGTTGCCCAGAGAAGCTGGGGCTGCTCCGTCCCTAGAATTGTCCAAGACCAGGCTGGATAGGGTATAAGCAACCTGAGATAATGGAAGGGCTGCTGGCCCATGACAGGGGGTGGTACGAGACGTTTTTTAAGATCTCTTCCAGCCCAAACCATTCTGAGATTCTATGATGAACCCATTCCAGGTGACTGCAGGCCTGAGAGCATGTTCACAAATGCATAAGAATCCCATTAACTTCACACTTCATCCTTGCCCTGACTTTTGATGCTAAGGCAGCTAAGCACGTATTTCTCTGTTTCTTCCCTTTCAGAATGCCAGTACTAGGAATTAGACCTGTGACTTCCTCAAATTCCTCTCCATGGCTGTGGGGAGTGCACACAGACCCGTGGCCCTGTGGCAGAATATGTGGTGGCTGCCTCTGCTTCCTTCACTCTGTCCAGCTGTCTCATCCCATCCTGACTGGCCCCCTGTGTGCCCTGAGCCCAAATAAAAGCCCTAACAAAAAAAAAAAAAAAAAAAAAAAAAAAAAAAAAAAAAAACAAGAACAAAACAACCAAACTCCAGTCCAGCAGTGTAATCAGATGAGCAGCCTCCTCCCTGCCTGACCTGCCTGCCAAGAACCCCCCAGCAACCCCAAAATGCTCCTGCATACCTGAGAATCCACATCTGGACAATGCCATTTCCTGAGCCGACAATCCTTTGTTACCGGTCACGAGTTGTGCCACTCCAGAGCACCAAGGCCTCTAATCCCAATGGCTCTCACGTGATTGTTTGCATCAGGACTCCCCAAGGAGGGCAACTTCAAGCATGGTGGGGCTGGACTGACACCTGCCCAGGGCATCCTTCTCCTCCTCCTCCTCATATAAGGATTGTGCCTCCCTTAAGTGTTCCTCAAGCTCTTTGCAAACCTCCTCACCTCCTCCTCAGCACTCACAATGCTCTTCAAATTATGGACAAATCCACCACCCCTCCAAGGGGAAACACAACACCCTGGTCAGCTTAGGGGTGGGATGTGCAGGGACAACAGGGAGGTGGGTTCCCTTTGTGCTGTCACATCATCTCAGCACTGGCCCTAACGCTCTCCTTTGTCTTCCTCCTCTCTCTTCCCTGCAGGGCCCGGAGCAGTGCACGATGGCGGCAACGCGGCATCCCGGGTGGCTGCTGGCCTCTGCCTCTGGGCCACCCTCCTTGCTCGCCTCCTTCTCGACTTTTGATAAGGGAGCGGAGGGTCCCGGGAGGCCTCGCCGCACCTCTCCCCCGCCGCGGGCTTGGCCGCCGCGCCGCCTGGGGACTCCTCTCCATCGGACGGGCGATGCACCAGAGGACGGGCGGCGGTGCCGAGCGTCCGAGGATGGCCCCGTCTCCCATGTGCCGGGATCGTTCTCGCCGCCGGTTATGCTGTACAGACCCCACCACGTGCCACCAGACTGTCACCCGCCACCATCGCCCCGGGAATGTGGCCCGGCACGGACGGTGCCCCTGTGGCTGCCTCATCTCCAATGCCGGGGGCACGGAGCCGTCGGGGCGGGTGCCGCCCAGAGCCTTCACCAGGATGTCCGTCTCGTCATCTCACTAAGCCGCCTATGCCCAAAAAGACCCCAAGGCTGAAGCCTCCTGGCTCTGCCTTCAGCCCTCTTGGTCCTGAATGTCAGTTCTCGTCGCCAAAGCTCCTCCCTAAGCACCCCGATGCTGCCAGCCCCCCATCACCTGCCTCTGCTCCTGACAGGATGCTCTCTGGCCCTTTGGGAGAGAGTCACCCGATATAACCAGTTGTCCTTCAAGGGTCACACACTTCCCACTACTCTTTATTCCAGCTGACATCATACCCCTGTGCTTCCCACTAAAACCCCCTCACCTTCCTGAGGACATGAGGCTGCTCTCCCAGGAATGTGAGCCCTGGGGACTGCCACCAGCTCTCCTAGAGACTAGAGCCTTCTTGCTGCATTGGACAGCCAGGCAATCACTCCTTGCTCCAGATCCCTGCCCACTCTGCTGCTGCCCCCATGATGGCAGGGGCTGCCCCATGGCTCTCACCTTGATGCTCTGCCAGCAGTTTTTGGGGACATTTCTCTGGGCTTGTTTTCCAAGCACTTTCCAACCTGCATATCAAAAGCACAGCATCACCAGCGAGGGGCAGAGGCTCTGAACAACAGATCGAAACACCAGCTGACAAGGCCCTTTTGCTACAGCTCTGACGTTCATGACCGTCTGTATCTCTGCCCCTCATGGGGCCCTGAGCTACAATGTTCTCACTCTGCCTGGTTTCACGCCCATCACGTGTCCTGCCTGAGGAAAGTCTGATGTGTGGAGGAGGCCTGGGCTCTGTCAATTTGCTGTGCTGGCACAGCAGGGACAAGAATGGCTCCAATGCTCCCTGCTGCAACTTGCCTGTGACACCAAAATAGACACACCCAGACTCTGCCCTCTCTGCTTCTTCTAGCCACCCTGGGACCTGCCACCCACGGTGGCAGTAGCCATGTCATCACCCTACATACGGAATTGTGCTCCTGATAGCCTCGTGCACCACGAACCCCCTTGCCTGGTACATTGTGGCAGTCCTGAGCCTTCTTGTCACTCCATGGCCACCCAGGAATGCTTTGGTGCCACAGTCTGGGGATGGACACTCCCATCCTGCTCCTGAAAAGTCACATGTGGCACCGGACCCTATTGCTGCGACAGGGAGACTCTACTACAGCAAGGCACTGAGCAAGCACACAGAGTGTCCCCTGTCCTCACCCAGCACCTCCCCGTGCCTTGTCCCTTCCTTCTCCCTCCACAAGTGAGATGACTTAAGAACAACGGCCACGCACACGCTGTCTTCCCCCTGCAAACTCCGCTGCTGCCCAAATCTGCTTTCGTGGCTGCAAGGAAGCTGGGGTGCCAGCCCTCAGCACACAAGATGGAAAAACCACCCTGAGCCAGAGGCCATGATGGGCCACCACTGTGTCCTCTATGCAGCTGTGCCCATCCTCATCCCTGTTCTCAGTGGGCTGCCCAGGACCTGCTACAAAATCTCAGTGGATGCTCCTGCCCGCCCATCCTGGATGTTCAACATGTACCATGGCTGATTGACAAAAACCGCCTGGTCCCAGGCAGGGGCTGCCCCAGTGCTGGCCTGAGGTGCTGGCTTACCTGGTGGATGGGGATCCGGTACTGACTGGGTGAGTCCGCGTCCTGCGGTCCCTGCGGTGCTGCTCTGCTTCTCCGCTGGCATCCAAGAAAGGTGGCACTGTCAGCAATTCGGGTCCTATCCCATGGCCCCGGGCATGTTTATCGAGTGGGGATGGCACTGTCTTCAGCCAGCACGGCAACACGCACATCCTTCCCCACATGCTCACTCCAAAATACCGTGGATGATGGAGACACCTTGCCCCGATGCCTTTACTGGTCCGCACTGCCCCACAACCACCCCCCACTGCCACCCCGTGCCCTTTCCTTGGTCAGCCCCAAACTTCTCTGTCCCCACAGCAGAAATGCTGCAGAGTCACAGGGCAGGAGGCCACGGCAAATCAGAGAGTGGCGACGACGAGATGCCACGACGCACACTGAGGCTGGCGGGCCTGGTGCCAGGGCTGCCCCCATCCCATCCTTGTCCCTGGGTTGGGTGGGCTCCCCTGTACCCTGCCGGGACGGCATTCGACTTTCTCGTGCCATGTAACGTGCCATTGTGAGGAACGTGTTGGCTGTCTGAGGCCGGCCCCGCTGCGGCTCTGCCGGGTGGCAGACCCATTTGTGATCACTGCTCTTCATGTTTGGATGCCCGGGGGGTGGCCGGGTGCCCAGGGCGGGGGCAGTGTGGCTCTTGGGTCTCTCCAGCTGACGGCCGTGACGGCCGGTCTTGAGTTTCTGTCGATCATTGTATTCCAAGGGTGGCTATACTACCTGAGATTTGTGCATGTTACATTGTAGTTGTAACCTTTTCTAATTCGGCAAGAATAAGAGATGGTTGTGATTGTGCAGTGTATCAATAAAGTTTGACGAACTTTGTACCTTCGGGGCTTTGCTTCACGGGTCCCGCACACCCCAGGGAAGGGATGCAGTGCTGGGCGCCTGCTGAGCTGAGCTGGGAGGGCTCCTGAGTGCCTGGGACCTCTGCCACTCCTGGGGTCCCACCCAGCACTTGGCTGGACCCTCTTTTGATCGTCCCCTGTGACAGTGATGCTTGGAGCCCCACAGCTGGGGGCCTGCTGCTGTTTGGGCCACCCTTCACCCCATCCATGCATGTCCCCTGGGAATCCACCAGTGAGTCTCAGCTCCTGCCCACGTGTGTCTGCTGATGAGCAATGAGCACACACCTGCTGACGGAGGCCCTGCAGGGTAAGGACTGTCTTAGTTCTTGTCACTCACCTACCTTCTGTGGAAGCAGCATGACTGGGGGCCACTTTTCCAAGACTGAGACATTCCCAGCATCTCCTCCGTCATCTTGCAACAACGCTCACTCTGACAACTAAACCTGCCCCCATGAAGGAATGCCTCTGCAGACAATGCGCTCCCAAGGTTTGCTCCTGTCATGATCTGGCAGTGTGTGACAGAGACCAAATGTCTTTGTCAAAGGACAAAAACCATGAGGACCAGGAACAGAAGACCTGTGACCCTCAGTGTCTCCCTGACATGGTTGTAATCTCAGCAGGCTGTGCCCATCACTCCCAGGGGATGCCTCACCTTTCCACACCATCAACCAGGAGAAAAGATTCAACAAGTTCTTCTAGTGTGAGACCTGCTACCTGGAGGCTGGGGGCAGTGGGACTGTGACAGAGCCATCAGAATCTTGCTCACTTTGAGACCTCCCTTCATCTTCCCCAACGTGGGAATGAAAAGCCCAGTCCCAAGAGTTTTCCCTGAACGCCACAAGCAAACAGCTCCATCCCAGCACTGCTATGAGCTGCTGTGACCTTGCACATCTGGAACACCTCTGCACAGAGGAACACCTCTGCTGTCCCCCTCAAGTGACCCCAGCAGACAGGTAAGTGCTTCCCAAAACTCAACAACCTCCTGAGGGAAGGGATCTGGGAGGGATGTGTTACCTTGCCCACTTTCCTCAATGTCACCTGCAGTGAATCAAGCATTGGTGACCTCCATGGGAGACTCTCTGCTTTCAGACTGTTCCAAAAACCCCAACCCATCAGGGAGCCAGGGCTGATTTGATGAAACTCAGATGCCACAAAGCAATACTTGTCCCTTGCATGTGGTCCCTGGGGATCCCACCACCATCTGAGCTTCCCTAATGCTTACCATCTTCCCATGCCAGTTCTGCCTGATACCCAGTGCTGGACCTGCCTCCACTGGAGTGAATATCTACAGATGCCCAAACACTCCTGCTCATGACACATCCTAATGCCTCGTCTGCATTGTCCCCATCACAGAGCATGGGGAGGCAATCAGCCCCTCTCTGCCCATGTGATACCCTCCATCTCCCTTTCCTGGCTTGAGAGGGATGTTTCTCCATGGCCCCCAGCAATTCCCAACCTGTGCCTAAGGACATGGACCTCAGCTGCTACATCCAGGGGGAGGGAGGGCATATTTCAGACCGTGACCTCCATCCCTCCCCAGCACCAAGAGACACCCTTACCTATGTCAATAAATTATTACGTAAACGCATCCATCAAACCGCCTCTCTCTCTTTAACTTCCTCTTTGTCTGCTACTTTGGCACTGGACTCCTGGCACTCCTTGATCTCTCACCTAGAACACCAAAAAAGTTACAATTACAGAGAGGAGGTGAGGGAGAGAGCCCTGTTACCTCCATACCTATCCCTGGATCCCTCCCCATTACCCCCAAGCATCTGGGCATTGCCCCTCCTACCAGGTTTTCTCTACTGTGGCTGGCTAGTCCAACCTGCGAGTTGCAGGAGCTGCATAAAGACCAACGCCATCATCTCTGCCATCCTCACTCTGCTACCTGTGCCCAGCTATCCTGTCCCCTCACCCTCAGTGCCCTGTCCCTTATTTGGGATGTGCCACAAAGCCTGAGAATGGTTCTTCCCTTACCCCACTTGGACACTGCATGTCACACCTCACAGCAACACCTTCCCATCCTTCTTCTCCATGCTCATCTCTTGAGTTACATTATAGGGTCAGAAAATCAAAAATGCTCACACAAAACTGTCACACCATCAACAGCAACCAACTTCTGATCATGTAAATGTGTCAGGTGACATGGAGAAACCGGCACCCTGGAGGCTACAGTTGAGGCTGAGGACCAAACTCACTAAGCAACCTCCCAGGATTACCAGAAAACAAGACACTGACCGAGACAAGGCTCCATGGACAGCAAAATGCACCTACACCCAAACAATCCTGCCGTGCTTTGCCTGTATGCAGTACTGCATGAGAGACCCTGTTTTCTGCACCCACCTCTCATCACTCTGTGCCTCCTTCCCACACAGGATTCGCTTCAGCTGTTCCACAAGCATCCCCAGCAATGCTGTGCAGCTGGGCTAGAGAGCCACACCAGAGCTTGGGGGCACTGAGTGGGGTCCTGAGCAGGAAAATTGGGCACAGCTGTGCCTCACACTGTCTCCATCTACTCACCAAAACCTTACCTGTGACAGCATTCCTGCTGGGCTCATCCGTGAAATCCAGCGGCCATCTTTCCAATGCTCTCCTGGCCCACTGTGATGACTTGGTGCTCCCATCTGACACTCCCCCTCCAGCATCCCTCCCCACATCCCTCCCCATTCCTGGTGGC